CTTCTGAGAGAGGGACACAATGCTAGAGGTTGAGACTCCATGCCCCGAGACCCGTCTTCTTTTTGGCTGGCAATGGCTTAATAAACGCTTTGTTTTATTTTTAATTTTTTAAATGTTTTGTTTTAATTTTAAAGAGAGAAATATCAATGTAAGAGAAAAACATCAACTGGTTTCTTTCTGCACACACCCCTACTGCAGATCAAACCCACAACTGAGGTGTGCCCTGACCAGGAATCAAACCCCCAACTTTTTGGTGTATGGGACGATGCTCCAACCAATTGTGCCACAGCAGCAAGAGCAAACCTTTTATTTTAAAGGCTTTTCTTTCCACCATGGAAATTGAAATTTTTGTTTAACACCATCTTCATGGTCCAGCTAAGGATCCCAAGACCTGAATTAAGAAATCACTGCCAATGATTGTAACTGCACTTTACAAATTCTCTACAATAAATTAATCCTGTACAAAGAGGTTTTTTATGTTAGTCCATATTTATATGACAGTCTCTCTTATGGAAAAAAATTACTGAAATTTGCTTCAAATGGGGAGGGGATAGAACAAAACAGACTGACCATTAAATTGATAATGAGTGAAGTGGGGTAATCAGAAGGGGGGAATATCATGCATTCTGAATCTTGTACATATTTAAAGTTTGTACCAAAATAGCTCAAGGGAAATCTTAACAGATATTCTGTTCTACTAATGATTCTACTTCCCTATATCCCTTTTCTTCAAAAACTCACTTGAATTCTTGTAACAGCTTGTATAAAACAGATCAACCAACCATTCAATGGTTAGAAACAAGACAACACGGTATTTTTGTTTGTCCTACTAGTTCTTCAGAGAACTTGCTAATTCAATACAGAGAGGCAGATCCAATAAATCTGCCCTGAGTGGGAATATAATTTCCACCACTATACTCAAAACAAAGTTCTGCTGTACTTATTCTGAATACCTTGGATCTTAAGATTATCTTTTTCACATAATCATCACCAACATGATAAGCTGAATGTTTTCTATACACAAGGACTTATGCTAAAATGCATGTATTATCTTCTTAAATCTAGACAACAATCTTATGAAAAATAACTATCTCTAAATCAGAGATAGATGCTCACGATTTAAGTACTTTGCATAGAGTCACCAGGGTATTAGTGATGGAATTAAGATCTGAATCTAGGTCTAGTCCTACCTTTCCATATTGATTCCCATTTTACATTAAAAACAAGAGAGGCAAATGAAGTATAGAAATAACATTCTGGTCAAATTGCACATTAAGTCCCTACAAGAGCCATATCTTGAACCTGCCAACACATACTTATTATTTCTTTCACTAAATTATAAATATTTCCTTCTGATAAACAGGTATTAAAACAATATAAGTTCTTGATTATTTCACTAAATTATGTTGGCAAATATTTATTGATTGCTGTGTGCCAACCACTGTTCTAGTTGCTTGAGGATACAGCAGGAAAGAAGACAGCCCTGTCATCTAGTGGGAGTAGACAGACAATAAACATGTGAACAAAAACCAAGGTAATTTCATATACTGAAAATAAAGTGATGTGATAGAAAGCAAATGAAAAGACCCCTTGAAATAAGGTCATTAGGGAAGGCCTTTCAAGGAGGTAATATGTGAGCTTGGATCTAAATGATGAGAGGACAACTGGAAGAAGTCTGAGAGGTAGCAGTGCAGGAACTTCTTAAGTTTAGATCTTATCTCCATTGCAACGGGATGCCAACTACAGGACTCTGAAGTACAAAAATGGCATCTGTTTATGCTACAGAAAGATCACTTTAAAAATGATGGTAATGAATGCTTCATCCAAATTAAGAGAAACCTGAATAAAATCAGTATGACCCACCCACAAAACTTCAAGAAGCCTACTTGCTTTCTCTAAGTTATCACCTTTAAAATGAAACAAAAGTCTCTTACTACACATTATGAAGTTAAAAGATAAAACAAAAATATCTCTGGAAGAGCTAACATAGTTACTTAAATTCACACAGAGGTCTAAATTAAAAGTACTAAATAAGGGATGCAAGGGGAGGGAGAGAGAGAAAGAGAGAGAGAGAAGTGGCCATCAGGAAAATGGACAGAAAGGGTGGAAATGCCAAAAATATCAACCTCACAAATTTGCCTAAAGCTGACTTAGAAACCAAACTCAAACTAAAATAATTCTAACTGTAAAGAAATAATAAAATTAAAGAAAAAAATGAGGTCCAATGCATAAATTACTTTTATTACACCCTTCACCACTCTCCTGAATATCTCTCAAAAGGCTTTACTTACCAGATAGTTGATATCCATTAAATGTACAGCTGACCATGGAATAACATGGGTTTGAACTACGAGGGTTTTATATGAGGATTTTTTTCAATAAAAACTGTAAATGTATTTTTTGTCCTTGTGATTTTCTTAACTTTTTTTTGCCTAGCTTACTTTATTGTAAGAATACAGTATATAATATATATAACACAAAAAAATGTGTTAATCAACTGTTTATGTAACCAGTAAAGCTTCCAGTCAACAGTAGGCTATTAGTAAAGTTTTAGGATAGTCAAAGTTATACAAGGATTTTTGACTGCTCAAGGGTTGGCATTCCTAATCCCCAATTGTTCAAAGGTCAACTGTATATACAAAACTACTACACATTACCTTGAACCATTTAAGAAAAGTTAAGTTGCACTGCACTCGGCCAAGAGGTAGAAAATCAGGTTTTTCACAAAGCCAAAAGCATTTAATTGAATAAACTATGTATCATGCACTTCAAATGAAGTATTGTTTTCCTAGAGCAATATTTCTTTCCCTTTTAAGATATTAACATGGGAAATAAATTCAGACACAATATCAACAGCAGAGGTAGAAAATTTCTGGCTCTGGTTCCTCATTATTGTAATTGTCATTTGTAATCCCACAAGGCAGAGATGAGAACCAACTTATTCTTGCAAATGATGTAACCACAGTGTTAAAGCACCAGAGCCCAAAGGTAGAAAATGTTGAACACTTGCATAATTTAGTAAAATGTTTTAAAACAGGAAGAATATGTTTAAGAAAAACGTCCTAGCCCTGGCTGGTGTAGCTCAGTGGATAGAGCACAGCCTGCGAATCAAAGGACCACAGTTCGATTCCCAGTCAGGGCACATGCCTGGGTTGCAGGCTGCTTCCCTGCAGGCTAGTTTCCAGCAGGGGATTCAGAAAAGCAACCATACATTGATGTTTCTCTCCTTCCCCTCTAAAGATAGATAGATAGATAGATAGATAGATAGATAGATAGATAGATAGATAGATAGATAAATAAAATCTTAAAAAAAAAGAAAAGAAAAACGTCCTCAGGCTCACATAAGCACTGCTTGCTACCACTGGTGTATCAAGTTCATTAAAAATAACCTTGAAAACATTTTACAAAGTTAAATGTGGTCATCATCAACTGATATGGTAGAGTCAAAACCTAACTCCACCATTTTACTGTGTAAACTTAAGCAACTTAATGTTCCTAAGCCTTAGTGTCCCCATCTGTAAATCAGTGATTAAAAAATCTACTTCTTATATGGTTATGTTAAGGTATAACAAGGTGGATATACTATAAATGACAAGGGCTGGGCACATAGCAGATACTTAACATGTTGATGACTGTTATATTTGATTTTGTATGTTCTATTGGAATTTTACCTCTTGGAAAAAAAAGTAACTTTGATCTGCTATTGGTACATATGGGTAATCCTGTCTTGGTTCTACAATTCTTTCAGCAAATATTCAAAGAGCCAAAATATGTCTTTCCCAACAATAACTTTATGTATACAAATGATCTGAAGCTTGGGACCTATGATTTTGCAAGTTTTTTATCCATCTGTTCCCTAAAAGGTAAATACAAGTCAAAATACTACAAAAGCAATCAATGATAGAAATGGAATAAGAAGTGGTGACAAGCTATGGACAGGAAGCAACGAAGACCTAAAATTCCAATATAGGTGGATTTAGGATTAACCTTCTCTTTGCAGGAGGAAGCAACAGTGACTTCTCCACACTTCCTCATAAAAGAGATGAAATTTTTTGCTACAATCCATGCTTCCTGACAGTTTACTAGACCTCTTTTCTGTAGTAAGTCAGAAGAAAAAACTCCCCAATAAAGACAAAACAGTAGTAACTAGAGGGAAAAGGATAATATATATTCAAAAAGTGTATTTCTTTTTTCCCCCCATTGGATGATACTGGAATCACTGTGGTGGACAAATATTCGGATGCTGTTTTCTTCTCTAACAAGGGTTGCAGGAAAGAAAGCACGTTTCTTGGTTCCTTGTTTTGATTGTTACCTATGAAACCAGAAATTCCTTAAAACGGTATTTCAAGTGATTTTTAAAGTATTGATGATACCGACTACAGTTGCTTCCGGACAGTATCAAGAAGCCTGTATTTTATTGCGGCAAACACAGGTACAGGGAAAACCCCGCAGGTAGTCGCCTCAACTCTACGTGGAGCTCATGTTACTCAACATTCATCCAGATAAGGCCCTTATTACACATCACAAGTTTAGATCATTAGAAAATAGAGTGGTCCAACATATTCCAGCGAACTAGGTGGATGTACTACTTCTAAAACCAAAGCTTGTCTGTCTTAAGGAAAACCAGAAATCTTTAACACGTCAAGGCCTATCTAAGAAACAAACGGACGCGACAATTTCTGTAAAGGTTCAGTAAGTCAACAAAACCTTACAAGGCTCCGAAATGATACAATGTAGAAATCTACAGCTACGAGGCCAACGGCCCAAGGTCACACCGAGTCAGTGGCTAAAATATCCAAGAAATGCTAAACCTCCTGCAATTTAGGAAAAGGCTGGCTAGGTATGGAGTCTAGGTTTGGGAACACTCGGGTCACAGGTTTAATGTGAACGAACAGCTCCAACGAAATGCAGTGGCTCCACGGGAAAACCCCAAGCGATTCCGGGATTATTTCCTTCCATTTCCCCAGGCTTCCCTTCCCCTGAGCACCCCCAACACTCACATCTCCGGAGCCACTTCATCCAATGGTAGACGATAGTAGCGTGGTGTTTCTTGTTCTCTATACACCAAGACGACAGGCCTTGAATAGATTCCATGGTGTTGGTTACCGACTGGAATTTTCGATCCAGTGAGGACTCCAAGGCCCCTGACGAAGAGGCCGACGAGGAGGAGGCCTTACTGCTGCCTCCGCCGCCGCCGGCCGCCATCTTCCCGGTTTGCACTAGCGCTGCTGCTCCTCTGGCGGCGGCGGCGGCGGCGGCGGCGAGGCGGCGGCGGGAGCGAGCAAAACAATCACTGCGAGTGCGTGAAAGCCGTAGGTGGGGAGGGAGGTCAGGGGGAGGGGATGGTGCACGCGCTGGGCTCTTCAGACGGTAAGACGGGCGGGTCAGCTGCTGAGCACGCTGGTGGCTCCCACACCTGCAAGGAGGGGCTGCGGGATTCGAAGGTTTATCAGAATTGTTCAGGGGGTTGTGTTTAAACCAGTCAGTTACCAGAAATTTCGCAGAAAACAGGGCAAAGCCCTTCAAAATGCCTGACCCCCAAACCAATGGTTTTATATTCTTTGGCTCTCTACGCTAAGTAAGACCCTTCCCCACTTCTATCACCACACCCCTATTAGGGCGGGCGTTACTATCTTAAATTTAATACCACCCGAGTGCCCCTTCGGCTGCAGTAATGTTTCTCTCCCCTTTAGATCCTCTACCACAGAAAAGGCCCAAGGCTACCTAGTCAGGATTTTTTTTGCAACGCAACAGCAGCAAAGGAACAGCAACAGTACCGCGCACGCGCTGCTTAGCCCCGCCCCCTGCTTCCTTCTCAGCCTAGAAAGCAGAGGGAGGCCCTAATGGCGGGGCAATCTGACCAATCAAGGGAGGAGAACGAGAAGCGCGCGCAGTAGTCCGCAAGCCCTTAGGGCCAAGGAAGCACTTTGATTATTTGTGCGCGTGCGCAGCACCTCCGCGTGTAGCGGGCTGGGAGGAAAAACGGGGAGGGAAGGAGTAGGGAGTTGGTCAAACTATGGAGAGGTTGGGGGAGGGGGCTTCACCGCTCTGCCCCACCTTTTGCTTCGTAGCGAAGTCTCTCCCTTGAGGATACCTATCTCACAGGGCCAGGAAACGTCCACCACTCAGCGGCCACTGTTACTCTCTGGCAACTGCAGCCGCCACGGCACCAATTCCTTGGGGAACCGACGAACTACAAAGTGGCAAGCAGCCATCTTGCAGTGCTTTAGCTGACGCGCATGCGCCAGCGCCAGTGAGCCATTCAATACGCAGACTCCTAGACCAAGAAAAATTATATATTTCTCTTGGGCCATACCATTCTTAACTACTTGACTATCTGAATTATAGGAAGAGAAAGTGAATGAAGTGTAATAAAATTTTCCCCGGGAAATTTTCGACACGAGGCAAGTTTAAAAAGTTCTCTCACCTTTGCCAGTTATGACACAGTTCCATAATTGCATAATACATTATACAACCTAGATGAACCATTCTATCACATCTGCGATGCAAAACCTCTGAGCAGATTTGCAGGCTTCCGTGACCCACTGAACGCGTGCAATTATTATATTTTATTTTATGTCTCCCCAGTAGATTCTGTTTCTTGAAGCAGGGAAACTTTTGTCAAGCTCATATCTAGTATTCAACAAAAAGATGTTGAGTGTGTTGAATGAACCGTTCTAAATGTTGGAGAATAGCAACAAAACACAAAAATTCCTTGACTGTGGGGCTCAGTGTTAGCAGACCGTAAGCAAACATATATCAAGGGGTAGTAATAAGTTATGTAAAGGAGTATGAAACAGGGTAAGGGCAGTAGAGGGTATTTTATGGGTGATCCTGTATACAAGCATAGGAAAGGTGGTTCGGTGCATCAGGAAGGTCTTTGGAAGAAAGAGACACTTGGCTGTTGTTAAAAAAACTTTAACTTTCATGGCTGAAAGTCTTTTTAAAAAAGGGTTTATTAGGCCATTGCTACAAAAAAGAAGACTGGTCTTGGGGTGTAGAGTCTAAACCACCAGCAACATGACTAGATAAGAAAGACATGTCCAACATCCTTGAGTTTTGCAAGCATTTTTAAAATACATCAAGTCAGGGGAGTAAGAAATAAATCCCTCCGGAAGAATTTACTTTAGCTATAGACAACAGGGATGGCAGAAGGTGAAGCCAGGATAGGTGCAACAGAGTCCACAACAGAATCTGTAAAGCTCCTGTGTAAATAAGAAGTGGAGACTCCGAGGCTCAAGAGCTCCTGGCTATTCTATCTTTCTAGATAATCTGGAAATAACTGCCTGAAGTTAATTTTTTAAGTCTTTTTTTAAAGGTTTTATTTATCTTTAAAGGGGAAGGGAAGGAGAGAGGGAGAGAAATATCAATGTATGGTTGCCTCTTGTGCATCCCCTGCTGGGAACTGGCCTGCAACCCAGGCATGTGCCTTGACTGGGAATCCAACTGCGATCCTTGAGCTTGCAGGCCTGCACACAACCCACTGAGCTACACCAGCCAGGGCTGAAGTTAATTTAATAATTCCAAAAATATACTGAGTGTGAGCAGTCTTTTGTTGGTTTTACACTGCAGATATTGATTGATTAACCTCCTTTTTCTTTTCCTTCCCCCACTAGCCTGATGTAACTTAATTTAGGATATCTCACATTAAATCTTCCCCTCCCTTTGTCTTTGTCCATGGGGTCTATGGGTCCTTTATATTCATGTTCCTTGATTTGACCCTTCCCCTTCTTTTCCCCTTTATTCCCCCTGTCCCCTCCCCTCTGGTCATTGTCAGTTTGTTGGCGTTTTTTAAAAAGATTTTATTTATTTTTGTTGTTAGAGAGAGGGGAAGGGAAGGAGAAAGAAATATCAATGTGTGGTTGCTTCTCACATGCCCCCTACTGGCAGGGACCTGTTCTGTAACTCAGGCTTGTGCCCTGACTGGGAATCGGATCGGACCAGTGACTTTTTGCTTCCCAACACGCACTCAATCCACTGAGCTGCACCAGCCAGGTCCAGTTTGTTCTTTATTTCCATGTCTCTGGTTCTGTTTTGCTTGCTTATTTGTTTTGTTGATTAAGTTCCACTTATAGGTGAGACCGTATGGTATTTGTCTTTCACCTCCTAGCTTATTTCACTTAGCATAATACTCTCTAGTTCCATCCATGCTGTTGAGAAGGGTAGGAGTTCCTTCTTTCTTTCTGCTGTGTAGTATTCCCTTGTGTAAATGTACCACAGTTTTTTGATCCACTCATTTACTGATGGACATTTAGGCTGTTTCCAGCACTTGCATATTATTAATAATGCTGCTATGAACATTGGGGTGCATAGGTATTTTTGAATTAGTGTTTCAGGATTCTTAGGGTATAATCCCAGCAGTGGAATTGCCGCATCAAAAGGCAGTTCAATTTTTCATTTTCTGACGAAATTCCATACTGTTTTCCACAGTGGCTGCACCAGTCTGCATTCCCACCAACAGTGCACTAGGGTTCCCTTTTCTCCACATCTTCCCCAACACTTGTTGTTTGTTGAGTTGTTTATGATGACCATTCTGACCAGTGTGAAGTGGTATGTCATTGTGGTTTTAATTTGCATCTTTCAGATGGTTGGTAGTGCTGAGCATCTTTTCATGTCTCTGGGCCCACTGTATGTTCTCCTTGGAGAAGTGTCTGTTCAGGTCCTTTGCCCATTTTTAAATTATATTGTTTGTCTTCCTGGTGTGGAGTCGTGTGAGTTCTTTATATATTTTGAAGATCAAACCCCTGTCCAAGGTATCATTGTCAAATATATTTTCCCATACAGTTGGTTCCTTTTTCATTTTGCTGATGTTTTCTTTAGCTGTGCAGAAGCTTTTTAACTTGATATAGTCCCATTCGTTTGTTCCTTCCTTTATATGCCTTGCTCTAGGGGACAGTAAATTTTAACTCTGAGATGGGGAGCCCTTTTAAGCAAAGGAGGGTTTGTTTTGTTTTGTTTTTCAGTTTATTGATTTTAGAGAGAGAGGAGAGGAGGGAGGGAAAGAGAGAAACATTGATTTGTTGTTCCACTTATTTGTGCATTTGTTGGTTGATTCTTGTATGTGCCCTGACTCAGGATAGAACCCACCACCTTGGTGTATTGGCATGACTCTCTAACCAACTGAGCTACCCAGCCAGGCCTTAAACACAGGAGTTTTAAGCAGAAAAATTACATGGTGATTTTTTAAATGATCACGTTGGCTGCTATGTTGAAAATAGACTGCACTGTTTGGAGGTATGTTTGAGCTTGCTGAATAGACACCATGAGAAAAACTCATCTTCCCAAGCTAAAAAAACTTTACAGACAAGAAGATTTGATCCCTTCATGAATCTTGTGATAAATGAATGTGTGTAGAAGGCAACTAGTGGGCAACAAAGCAGTACTGGAATGGCAGTAATATGAGGAAATAGTATCATGTTAGAAGAGTTGGGACAACTGTAAAGAATGGCTGTGTTCGCCAGAGGAATCAAGACTTTCCACGTGTCCCCTCTCCATAGCACCTTTTCTAATACAACATAAAAATTGAGTTGTGTACATTTTCACACAGAACTTTTATTTTATTTTATTGATTATACCATTACAGTTGTCCCATTCCCCCCTTCATTCCCCTCCACCCTGCACACCCCTTCCCACCCACCTTCTCCCCCTTTAGTTCATTTCCATGTGTCATAAGTTCTTTAGCTTCTACATTTCCCACACTATTCTTGCCCTCCCCCTATTTTCTCCCCACTGTCTATGCTACTTATTCTCTGTACCTTCTCCCCCTGCTCCTCCTCCCACTCCCCTGTTGCTAATCCTCCTGTGATCTTCATTTCTATGGTTCTGCTCCTGATCTAGCTGTCTGCTTAGTTTGCTTTTGTTTTAGGTGTGGTTGTTAGTAACTGTGAGTTTGCTGTCCTTTCACTGTTCATATTTTTTGTCCTTTTTCTTAGATAATCCCTTTACCATTTCATATAATAAGGGCTTGGTGATGATTAACTCCTTTAACTTGACCTTATCTGAGAAGCACTTTATCTGCCCTTCCATTCTAAATGAAAGCTTTGCTGGGTAGAGCAATCTTGGATGTAGGTCCTTGCATTTCATGACTTGGAATACTTCTTTCCAGCCCCTTCTTGCCTGTAAGGTCTCTTTTGAGAAATCAGCTGACAGTCTGATGGGAACTCCTTTGTAGGTGACTATCCCCTTATCTCTTGCTGCTTCTAGAATTCTCTCCATTTTAATCTTGGATAATGTAATGATGATGGGCCTTGGTGTATTCCTCTTTGGGTCCACCTTCTTTGGGACTCTCTGAGCTTCCTGGACTTCCTGAAAGTACATTTGTTTTGTCAGAATGGGGACGCTCTCCTTTATTATTTGTTCAAATAAGCTTTCCATTTGTTACTGTTCCTCTTCCCCTTCTGGTACCCCTATAATTCGGATGTTGGAGTGTTTAAAGATGTCCTGGAGATTCCTAAGCCTCTCCTCGTTTTTTGAATTCTTGTTTCTTCATTCTGTTCTGTTTGGTTGTTTCTTTCTTCCTTCTGGTTCACTCCATTGATTTGAGACCCAGTTTTCTTTCCATCATTATTGGATCCCTGTGCATTTTCCTTCATATCACTTAGTGTAGCCTTCATTTTTTCATCAAATTTGTGACCAAAATCAACCAGTTCTGTGAGCATCCTGATCACCAGTGTTTTGAACTGTTTATCTGATAGGTTGGCTATCATTCAATTGGTGCTTTTAGGCTTTATTTCCCATCACTGGGGCCCTGGGTTGTGCGGTCTGT